ATACAAACTCATAAAATCTAGTGAACCTAGAAACAGAACTCGAGCCCTATGGTGAGACTGGGAAAGGACTAAGTAGATTGAGCAGAGACTCAATCTGGATGAATGAGCAGAGGCTCAGGAGATACAGTGGAGAGTCAACGGGCTCAGCAAAGGGTCGACAAAAATCGTAAGTCTGACTCTAGGATCCAAGGGTAAATGGGGATGGTTAACGCTTTAGGAGTGATAGCCGCTAACTCTTAATTACTTTTCATTATTAAAAGATGATTATTTGGATGAAATGTTGAACTTATATATATATATATATATATATGTATATATATACATATATATCCCTATGCAATGAAAACAACGAGCATTGAGTCATTTTCGTTCTGTTATGGGTCCCTAACACACAAACCTAGTAGCAAAAAAACATGAGAGGTGTCGTGTTTGGGTTTCTCCGGCGGGTGACAAGCGCTGGGCAGGAGAGGGGTTCAAGCATAAGGGTTGGCAAACCACTTCACCCAATCGACAATGTGATTGCGGTCAAATTCATCCAGTTTGGCCGTAATTGTGACCAAATACATTTAGGAAAGTGCATGCAAGTGTGAGTATGCCCTCAGTGTGATGGTCGAGCAGAGACGGAGGATGATTGATGACACTTCGAGGGCTTTATTTATTTCTTTTCCGTTTTTCCTAGATGTCCCACAGAGGCCGCACGTGCCATCACTCCCCTAGTAGTGCTCAGCAAAGGGTCGACAAAAATCGTAAGTTTGACTCTAGGACCCAAGGGTAAAGGGGGATGGTTAACGCTTTAGGAGTGATAGCCGCTAACTCTCAATTATTTTTTATATTTAAAAGATGTTATTTGGATGAAATGTTGAACTTATATATATATATATGTATGTATATATATACATATATATCCCTATGCAATGAAAACAACGAGCATTGAGTCATTTTCGTTCTTTTATGGGTCCCTAACACACAAACCGAGTAGCAAAAAAACATGAGAGGTGTCGTGTTTGGGTTTCTCCTGCGGGTGACAAGCGCTGGGCAGGAGAGGGGTTCAAGCATATGGGTTGGCAAACCACTTCACCCAATCGACAATGTGATTGCGGTCAAATTCATCCAGTTTGGCCGTAATTGTGGCCAAATACATTTAGGAAAGTGCATGCAAGTGTGAGTATGCCCTCAGTATGATGGTCGAGCAGAGACAGAGGATGATTGATAACACTTCGAGGGCTTTATTTATTTCTTTTCCGTTTTTCCTAGATGTCCCACAGAGGCCGCACGTGCCATCACTCCCCTAGTAGTGGAACCGTTTCCCTGAAGGGCTAGAAAGATGGCTACCGGTAGTAAAACCTCCCTCCAAGATGCGAAAAATCCTAAATTTTTCTTAAACCACCAGTACCTCCGCCAGTGTCGGGAAATTACGTTGTTCTGGCCAGTACACGAAGTTTTCGGGGTTCAGACACAAGGGCGGCGATGTCCCAAAAATCGTAATTTTTTTTTGCCCGTGCACGAAAGAAAAATGAAAAAAAAAAAGTATTTGTACTGCAATGATGTCGGGCAGGGTAGTCTAGGAGGCCGTGCTCACAGTCTTGAATGCATCTTACAACGAAGACGGTCACATTCAAAACTTGTTTTTTTTTTTTTTTTTTTCTCTTTTGTTTATTATGTGCCCCCTGCCAACGAGGCAGGGCGAAATCCGTGATCTGCTCTAGTCGTGTTTCCTCAAATGATTATCACCATGATGTATCCAACCGTTTTCAAGGCCGAATCTGTTTTCGTTTTTTTTTTTCTTGTTTTCTTTTTCTGGAATCTGACAATCTGAATCCGTGATCTGCTCGAGCTGTGTTTCCTCAGAGGATTGTAACCCTGCTCACACTGACACTTACGGGAATGTATCTTTCCATTTTTACAGCCGAATCCGTGTTCCTGTTTTTTTTTTTTTTTTTGAGTTTTTGGAATGTGACAACCTGGCGACGGGGCTGAGATGCCCTCACAGAGGGCACACTCACACTAACACTTCCGAGAATGTATACAACTGCAATCACGTCCATAGCTTTGTTTTTTTTTCTTGTCTTGTGAGTTATCACGACCGTAACTTTTCTTCCTCTTTTTTTTTTTTTTTTTTTTCCTGTGAGAGTACCATAAAAAAATGGAGTGGGACCCAGGCTCGGCAAAACTCGGAGCGCAGTGAAAATCAAGGTCGGCAAAAATAGGCTCGGAGGTACTGGTGGTTTAAGACTAATCCTTTTTTTTTTTTCATAACTGCTAAAAGAGACCCTTATTACAAGGTAGTTAAACCACCAATACCTCTCCCTGGTTGAAGAACTCGACGCGGTCGTTAACGCGTCGCGTCACACGGGGTACCCACCGACGTGCGACCGGTAGTCCCCCAAAAATGGGCCCCCCTTAAAATAATAATAATAATAATAAAAGATAAAATAAAAATGACGACGAAAATGAAAAGTAACAACCTAAAAGAAACAGGCGGGGCGGGGCGGGGGAAGGGGAGGAAGAGAGAGAGAGAGAGAGAGAGAGAGAGAGAGAGAGAGAGAGAGAGAGAGAGAGAGAGAGAGAGAGAGAGAGAGAGAGAGATGGCGTCAACCAGTGTCTGATGTCGAGTTTGGTGCACCCTCCACCACGAAATGAGAATGAATCTTCCGCGTTTGCGTTATCGCAGAAGATTCATTATCGTTTCCATGTGGAGAGAGAGAGAGAGAGAGAGAG